CCAGGTGGAAATTGTATCACCTTATTTAATCCAGTTTAGAAATTTAAAGCAGTACCACTTCCTCTGCATTGTTTGTGGAGGCAGTCACAAAGTTCTGCCTAGCTTCAAGGAGAAACACAGACAATACTTTTCAATGGGAAATGTTTCAAAGAACTTGCAGATAAAACAAAAGGCTTTTTAATAGTCCAGACAGGTGATTATAGCCTAGACTAGGGTGAAGGCAGTGGAAGGGGGAGAAGGGGTTAAATTTTGGATAGAATTTAAAGGCAGAGATGACAGGACTTGCTGGTCACCTGACTGTCTGTGAGGAAAAGAATGGGGTCAAGGACGACTATGAAGCTTTTAGACTGAACAGGTAGAAAGATGTAGGTGAGGAAAGCTTGGCTGGAGCAGGTTTAGGGGGAAGATTGGGAGCTCAGTTTAAGACCTGTGCAATCTGAGACATCTTTTAGACCCTTGAGTAGAGATGGGGAGCAGGTAGCAGGATATAGGAGTTTGAGGTTCAGTGGCCGGGTATAGGCTAAAGAGAGAAATTTGGGGGCTGTCAGAACAGAGATGGGATTTAGACCCATGAAGCTAAATAACAGCACCTGAGAATGAGTGTAGACAGAGATGTCAAGGCCAGGGCGCTGGGGCACAGCAAAGTGACAGGTTGATGAAGAGGAGGGTCGGGTGCTAGAAGCAGGGGAAGGAAGTGCTTCAAGGAGGGAAGGATTAAAGCACCAAATGCTGCTGTTGGCTCAAGCAGGATGTGGACAGAGGACTAACCATTGTCCAACACTCCAATGACTCCATTAGCTTCAATCCCAAAGGGCAGTCCCTTCTATCTCATCTGAGACAGAAGGATCCACTCCTGAGTTACGGTGAGTCCCAGTCTTGCCTTAAGTCTTACCTGGAACACCTCCCTGCCTTGCCTTCAAATAGGATGAAATCAGAAGAGACTTTACATCAAGGGTAAAGAATTAGGGTGGGGGTGGGTTGGGGAGCCATTTTCCTAAATTAGCATAACTCTTGGCCTTTCCGGAACAACTTTCTCAGAGAAAATCTGAAAACAATACTTCCTTGGGAAAAACAGAATTTGTACAATCAAAGTCATCTGGCCTCAAATCTCATTCCTTCTCTCCTCAGCCACATCCTTGGGCACCTGGGGAGTGATCTGGCTGGAGGAGACCAAGACCCTTGGGTCTTCTGTGTGGCCCACCAGGAGGGATAATCGGGCGTCCACTTTCCTGGAAAAAAGCCAGGTAATAGAGGCTGAGATATGTGCTCAGGATTGGGATCTGGGGGTGTGGACGGCTCTGGAAAAGGAGCTCAAGAGAGTTGTCGCAAGATTCAGGGGCCCGTCGTCATAAATCCAGAGATAGTCACCTTTTCTGCCGCCGCAGCTCTGCCCTCTGAACCCTCAGCACCTGCAGTACAGGGTCCTCCTGGAACTCGCTGCCATCGGAGTCTGGGGGGGAAAGAGAGAGCTCCAGGGGGCCAGACCCATTGGGTGCTGTACTGCTGAGACTCGGGCAGCCGCACGCTTCAGCTCACCTTCAGCAGCTTGCAGAAGCTGGGCCGCCTGGGAGAGCAGGTCCTCTGGTGGGGTGTGGTCAGCAGAGGGTGAGGGTGTGACCACACCCTCTAGAGACTCCGCCTCGAACGGAGCGGGAGAGGCCTTGACGTTTATAGACGCCTCCTCAGCTGGAGGAGGCGGGACCTTGGGCTGAGGGTGCCTGACTTCACCCGAGGGAATGTCTTTGTCCTTACAAAGCACCAACCCAGCTGCTGGGAGTGTGGCCTTGACATTCCGGTTCTCCTCTGCTGGGGTCTTCGCCTGCGGAAACTGTGTATTAGAAAGAGGAGGCATGTTCTCTGAGCGATGGGGCATAACCTTTGTTTGGGGGTACTTGGCCTTGACTTTCGAAGATTCAGCCTGAGGTGGAGGCCGGCCCTCAAGCTGAGTGGGCGAGTCCTCCAGGCAGTCCGGGAACAGCCGAGCTGTCACTACCTGGCCCAGGGCGCCTCGGAGCTGCTGGTCAGGCCCCTTGTCAGCTACCTCCAGTTGCCTAGCAGGCTCCCGGCGTGGGGCTCTAGCCTTCCGAGGCTTAGAACCCTGCCTCTCAGGCTGGGAGGGACTGTTTGGTGCAGGGGTGTGCAGGCCCTGGGGGTCGGTAGGGTGTGCGGGAGTAGAGGCTGGGGGCATTGGGGGAAGGGCCCCGAGAGATACCCAGGGACCAGTCTGAGGGGCCCAGAAAAACCCATGGGGACTGGGGCCCCAAAAGATGTGTGGAGAGAACCCTGGAGGAATAGGAGGCCTCTCCACACAGACGCCTCCCACAGGACTAGGCTGCGCCACACTGCCCCAAAGTGGGACACAGTTAGGCTGTGTGCCCAGGGAACTAAGCATCTCCGCAGGGGCAGAAGAGGTCTGCAGACAGATGGGGACAGAGACCTGAGAGGGAAAGAAAGTGAAGAGTGTCCTCAGTCCCACTCAGTCTTCCCCTTCCTTCAACGTCCCTTAGGATACCTTCTCAGCCCCTCAGGCTCCTCCTTCCCCCATCTCACCGGAGCAGTGAAGGCAGGGGTCCCTGGTAGCATCCAGGTATTGTCACCCTGACCTCCTTGAGCCTGTTCAAGCTTCCGCCGCTGCCTCCACTGGTATAGAATGTCATCCTCTGGCTGCAGGGGTGCTTGGGAGGAGACTGGGCCTGGAGCAGGGATGGGGGCTGGTGCTGGAGGTGCTGGGGGGTAAGTAGAGGGAAGAGGGGTAAGACAGAAGCCCAGGTGATGAGCAACCCAATGACAGCCTGAGCACACAACCTTCGACTGTACCAGAAAGCTATTCAGACAGGCTCTCCAGATAATGTCCAACTCCTCTCTGGAGTGGGAAGTGGGGAAGGAGCAGAGTCAGAGGAGAGATAACTCATAGATTTCTCTACTTGTCATCATTCAATTCTTCCTTCATTAACAAATATTTATTGAGCTCTTACTATTGAGGCAGGCACTGTTCTGGCTCAAGGGCAGGGCCACTGGCTGTTCCAAATCCAGCGGGGCAAAAGGACATCGTTCCCATCACCCAGAGCATCATTTCATCAGTCATGGTCAATAGGGCTGCCATTATCTCTCAGAAGCTCTACCGTTTGATAGTGCATGGGATGGGAGGGTATCTTATCATTTCAGATCTCTTTCTACTCCGCTCCTCTCTATATCATTCAAAAACATGTATGGAAAGAATCCTGTGATGCTACTTCCAAACCTGGCCACTTCCCTCTGCTCCTCAGGCTCTGGCCCAAGCCAAACTACCAGTGTCTCTCACTGGGTGTCGATAGCAGCCAGAGGAAGTCTGTTAACATTCAAGAAAGATCATGTCCCCTCCCTACTCAGAATCCTACCATGGCTGCCCAGTGCTAAGATAATGACCAAATGTTTCACAATACCTATATGGCCCAACGTAATCTGACCCCTGTCAATCTCTCCCGCCTTATCCCACACTACTCTCAGCCTTGGCTCTTGCCTTTTCTAGTCCATTGTCTATACCATGCTCCTTTCCACCTGAAGTCTTCTGTACATGCTACAGGGCTTTTGTCCCCACTTTCATCATTCAGGTCTCCACTGAGATAGCACTTCTTCTAGGAAGGCCCTCTCTGACTTCCCAGCATCACGATCCTCTCCTGCATGGCCCTCATTTCTGCTTACATTTCACATTTGTTTGTGGGGTTGTGTAGCTATTCTCTGCTCCACACTCACTATGCTGAAGGTAGGACTATGAATGGTTGGTTCGCTGTGGAATCCCTAATCCTGCTCACAGGGCCTCATACACAGTAGGAATTCAATGTTCGTTAGATGAATGAATGAATAAATTTAATCTGCAAAACAACTCATGAAGTAGGTACGAGTTTTATCCCCATTTTACAGATGAGAAAACTAAGGCTCAGGAAGGAAAGGTAAATAAAAGGTGAAGCTCAGACGAAAAGAAGAATGAGACAGGCAAGTGCTTGAGCAGGATCACACAACATGCACAAACACCTCTGTCGACTTATGCTTGCCTGTCCCCACTCACAGGAACCCATGAGACATACAGAGCACCTATCCTGTGCCCCACAGCATCCCAGAACCTGGACACAGAGTAAAAATAACAAAAACGATGGCAATAATAGTAACCCAGGGTCTTAATCTCATCTCTGAAGTCTTGGAGACAGAAATTTGAGTGTTTCAACAGTTAGCATGTTTTAGCAAAGTTGCATGGTGTGTATAGTGTAGACAGGGGTCTGGGACAGTACCCCAGATTCAGACCCATTGGTATATGGTTGAACAATATACAATGGCCAATATTCAACCAATTTTTTTATTTACAAAGGCAAAATTTTCATATGGTTTAACATAATATATCAAGAGCAAAAAGTATGAATAGTTATCCTAAACGAAATTAGAAAGATAGATAAATAATAAATATCCTTCTCGTTGAGGTCAGATTTTGCTGTCAAATCAGGTGTGATGCCAAGTTTGCAAAAAGCCTTCTGATTTCAGAGCTTTGTGTTCAGAGTGGCAGACAAGATGCAGAGAAACTGTCATACTGATAGCTACTGTTAACGGAGCTGTGCTAAGTACTCCATGTATTCACCAACTCATTTAATCCTTACAACACCCACAGCAGAGGAATACAATTATTATCCCTGTTTTAAAGTTGAGGGAACAAGGATGGATCAGAGAGGCCTAAGGTCACATAGCTGGTTAGTGGCAGAGCTCAGATTCCCACCCAGACTGCCTTCAATCCTGTCTTCCAGAACTTACCATGTACCTTGGGGTCTGAGCCCTTGCTGGATTCAGGAGTGAAGGTCATGGAGAAGGGTGAGAGGCCATCAGAGCTGACAGGAAATGAGGAGCTGCTGCTGGTATCGCTGGGGCTGTGGGAGGAGGAGGAGATGGAGGACTTGCTGTAGGGAGAAGGCAGAAGTGAGGCAACAGAGTAAAAGTAACAACGGAGGCAGTGGGCTGGGCCTGGAGCTGTGGGAGGATGATGAGGGTCGGGGAGGCACCTGTGTTTCAGCAGCCTGGCAGCTCTGCTTTGCAGGCTCAGTGTTTCCAGGTCCAGCAGGGATGAGTTCCATGTGTTGAGGCTCTGTGTAGTGAGAGGGTCAGAAGCTAGCCCCCATCCTAAAGCCTGCTGGGAAAAAGGCTCTAGATGGAAAGCCCAGAGTGCACATCTGTGCTCCACCTGGTACCCTCACATGCTGGCTTAGAAACTGCTCCTCCTCCTCAGGGAAGAGTGACCCAGTTTTCCTCTGTGGATCCACACCTCTCAGTGCAGTCATTGTTGTGGGAGAAAGGTTAACCCTACCTTCATGACCAGGCCTAGCTAATCACAACATTCCGTCCTCTGGTTCACAGTTATTGTGAGCAAGTGAGAGTAAGCCCTGGTCCTTTGGATGAAGCTATTGGAAAAGCCTCCTTTCCTGTGGATTAACTAAATAAGTTAGAAACTTACAGCTAGTGGGGCCATTAGCTACTATGAAGGGAAAGCCTGCCCGAGAATGAGTCCAACAAAGAGGAACAGAGAGCCAATAGAGTCAAGCTCCTCCCAAGAGTTTTCAAACACCTGGATCCAGCTATGCCTGAAAGCATCTACTTTTGGATGTTTTGTTTTGTTTTGTTTTAATTTCATTAGCAAACAAATTCTTCCCTTTTTGTTTAAGTTTCCTTGAACTGGGGCTTGACTCTAATTCTATCCTAGGGTTGGTGCTATCAGATCAGATACATAAGGGAAGGAGTGGATGGGGATGTCACCTGCTTTATGTCCTGAAGCGGGTCCATAGCCTTAGCCTGCGATGCACTGGCAACCTTGGCAAGAGTCGAGACTGCTGTATTGAATCTTCCTTCTGGTTCATTGGCTCCTGCTGAGAAGCCCCAATTGATTTAGGAGGGCCAAGAGGACTGGCTGCTGAGGGCATTGATTAGGAAAGGTTTTAGGCCAGGAGTGGATGGAACTGAAGCAGGTACCTGCTACAGGGTGACTGCTTGGGTCTAGAGGTTCAGGCCGTAGCCACCAAAAGTCAGCTGAGGTTGGGCCTGCAGACTGGCGTTCCTCTCGGCTTGTGGGCAGAGCTTGGCGGAACCGGTTTATGTACCTGTGGGCATCAGAGAATAGGAGATGAATGGGGTGAGGAGAGCCAAATAATAACAATAATAATCACAATAGCCAATGTTTCTGAGCACCATGGCAATGCCTGGTAGTTGTCCCTCAGCAGCTGTTCTTTCTCATATAGTAATGCGGCATTATGTAAGACTACTACTAGGGACATAGCCACTCTTCTCTAGATACATTTACCAGGTAGCTTTATGGCTATGTAACTAGGTCCTTGACTAACATGGTATGAAGAGATGTGATTCTGCAATGGATGTGGTTGGAAACCATGTTGGTCTATAAAAGAAACAGCCTAGGGGTGAGAGGGCAATAAGACAGAAGGAAACTGTGTCTCTGAGACCTCAACTAGGAGTTGCCGTATTAGCCTCGTTTGCTTCTGCGTGCACTGTTAAGTGAGAGAGAAACAGAATTAATTGTTTAAGCCACAATTAATTTGGCACTCTTTGTTACAGCAGCTGAACTTGTGCCCTACAAATCTAAGCACTCGCTATGTGATAGGAATTGTTATAGATGCTTTACACACAGTAAATAACTCATCGAAAGCTTAAAACAGGCCTAGGGGATATATGTTATCAATATCCCCAATTTACAGACAAAGAAACTGAGGCCAAGATGATACATAGAGTGAGTAACAGAGCTGGGATTTGAACCCAGGCAGCTTAGCTCCAGAGCTGTTAACATATATGAAATGTGGTCCTAAAAGTGTTGCATAAATAGCTTTGGCTATGATGATTATTATGGGATGCCCCTCCAACTTTTCTTTCCTCCCAGGGCTGCTGGTACTTACTTGGCTACCACAGAGTCACCACCATCAATCAGGGTGGGTGGTAGGGAAGTGCCCATATGTTCCTCAGTGGCGCTGGGTGGGGAAGGGGTCCCTGAGCTGGATGGCCAGGACTCCTCTAACAGCTCAGGGCAGTTGAGACCTGTGGCCAGGGCCATGGGAGTTTCTGGGATTCTGGATCTTTGGTAGCTAGATGAGCTCAGAGACTAAGATAGGGGAGGTAGAGAGAAGGAAAAGTGAGACATGGGGTCATCCCTGTAGGAAAACAAAGACACAGGTGAAGTCTCAGTCCAGAGGGGAAGGAAACATAACCCACAAAGGTAACCACTCAGAATAAATGAGGCTGTGATGGGGGATCCAGGTGGTAAAGGACTGGATAAAGGTAGGGCCATGGGAAAGGGAGGAGGGACTGTCTCTTAATCTCTTACCCCTGTCTCATCATATGTCTTTCCTTCCCTCTAGTCATCAGCCCCTTGCTACTAGGCTGGCACACAGCACTCTATAGGGTATCCTCACCTTGGCATGCCAGGTCTGGCGTCAGGATGGCCAGTAGTCGCTTCCATCCAGGGGAGCATCCCCAAAGGGGCTATCTTGGGTAGAGAAAACTGGCAGACTACAAAGGGAGAGTGGGGTTGGTAAGCAGAGCATGGTCACTCAGTGGTCACTTCCCGTGAGGGAACCGGGGTAAGGGTGGCAATGGGGTGGGAAGATGGGAAGAGGAGGGCAGAACCAGACTATAATTCCTATGGCTTCCTGGAAGAGGTAGACTGTAATTCCCATGAAGCACTGTTGCACAATAAAGATAATGATACTGTAGGGGGAGGGGCGAGGGAGGCGGTAGGTGGGGTAAAAGGGGTCAAATATGTGGTGACAGAAAGAAATCTAACTATGAGAGGTAAACACAATGTAAATATACATATGCCTTACTGTTAAAATGTGTAGCTGAAACTTACTGGATTTCGTTAACCAATGTCACCATAAAAATAAATTAGTTAATTAAAAAAAAAAAGATAATTATACTGGAGGCACGATTCCCACCAGCCCTTGGAGCAGCCTCAAAAGAAAAGAACCCAGGAACTACTCACGGTTCTCAACACTGGAACCAATCTAGGAAAGGACGTTTAAAAATACAGACTCGTGGTCCTCGCCCTAGACCAAAAGAATCAGAATTATCTGGAAGGGGTGGAGTGGTGGCTAGGAATCTCTATCTTTTTCGGAATGTCCCAGGTGGAGCTCGAGTTAAGAACCACAGCTAAACCCTATCACCGTACGTTTCCCATAAGTCCTTGGGACACGGTTTAAGGGAAAAAAGGGTAGATAGATGGACTACAATCCACATCAGTCACTGGGCTCCGCGTAAGCAAGAAGGGTCAATACAACACCTTTGAGAGTCTGGAGACAGTTTCAAAATTAAGAAACTTAATTTCTAAGTGGCCCCTGGATACACTTAGAAGGAAGAAAAAGCCCCTGGGGCCACTAAGAGAGCGAAACGCAAGACGCGATAGAATCCCCGAGAGTGAAATCCAAGACTAGAGCAGCCAAAGGCTGTGGAGCATTTTGGGAGTTGTAGTTCCATGCGGTTGAGAACAAGAGACTCTGGACCCTAGTAAACCTGACTCTATGCTGCATAGCTCTCACCTTTAGTCGTCCCCAGATCTCCAGTGATTTCCGAAAAAGGGATCGGCCTCACCTGCAGTTTATCCCTCAGCTGCCTCCGCGCTTCCGCCTGCTTGGCTCATTCACCCGCTTGATTCCGCGTGCATCTTTGTCGCTTAGCAATGCCCTATCAGTCCCGCTAGTCTCTGGGAGTGCCTGCGCGGGAAGAGAGCGGCTTCCAAGGCGACCAATGATAAAAAGGAAAATAACGGTAATTGGAAAGTGGCCAAAGGCGGGAGTCTCACAACTGGCTCTAACGTCTGCCTGACCGAGAGAGAGCGGTTGGAGAACCTTAGCGTTCAGGAGTAATTGGCAAGCCTGTGGACCAATGAAAAGGATGTGAGACTAGGTTCGAGGTTAGGAGGAGGTTCTAAAGTACACTCGCTTTCCTGCAATCTTGTCTTCCAACCACGCCTCTTATTGCTGCAGGAATCTGGTCCAGACTCCATTCTAACTACCGTTTTTTTCCCCTTTCGGGGGCAATCAGGGAGACTGTCCCCTCTCTAACGTCCCTCCATCAGTCGGACCTGCAAGCCCGTCCGTTCGGTCACCTAACCACTTCCGTCTTACTGCAGGGGCAGCTGGTTGCGCCATGTGCCAGGCCTGGGCTCCTGGCCGAGGTGGCGGGATCAAAACGAGCTATTTCGGGCCAGGCGCGCGGCCCCCGGGGGGCCAGCCGGGACTGTTCTTACCCACGCCCCCTGGCCGCTGCTCACCTGGCAGACCCCTCTACTCTGCACATCCGAGGCTGAGTCAGAGTCACAGAATTAGGTCCGGCTTGCCGGGGGGCTGGGCTGAGATGGTAGTAGGGTCTGTTATGTGTCCTCCTGACAGCCTGGCCCGTCTACCGCATTCTCAGCCCAGGATTCTGCTCCTAACACCGCCATGTACGTCATCCCTAGAGCTGCCTGCGAGGCGGGGGTGGAGTAAAGGGACTAAGAACTCTGCGGAGGGCTTCTCAGGCCCTGGGTCTAAAACGCCGCGCTGTGCTCCCTACTCCGGCAAAGCTCCGCCTCCTCAGCCTTAGTTTCTCCTTCGGGAAATTGGGGAATCTTGATACCTCTCTGGCATCCAGCAGGCGCTTACTAAATGGCCAAGTCATTGTCGGGCTTTCTAAATAAGGCTCTATTAGTGGCCGGGTCTGGCCGCGGTCCCAGTGTCCCCGGGCGGCCCGCCGAGGGGCGGACACATGGCGTACTATAAAGCAGCGGCGGCGCACTGAGGGGTACTGCGGCTCCTAGGGCGGCGGCGGAGGAGGAGAAGGAGGAGAAGGAGGAGAAGGAGGAATAGAATGGAGATCCCCGTGCCCGTGCAGCCGTCTTGGCTGCGCCGCGCCTCGGCCCCTTTGCCCGGGGTTTCCGCGCCAGGGCGCCTCTTCGACCAGCGCTTCGGCGAGGGGCTGCTGGAGGCCGAGCTCTCTGCGCTCTGTCCCGCCGCGCTGGCGCCCTACTACCTTCGTGCACCCAGCGTGGCGCTGCCTACCGCCCAGGTGCCAGGCCTGGGGAGGGGCGGTAACCCAACCACTTCCAAGGCTCGTGGGCCCGGTCACTCTGAGGGGAAGAGGGAATGTCCCTTGACTTTGAGCGGGGTGGAGTCCGACCACTCAGACGGGCTTCCAGAGTTCCCTGAGTACGGAATCTCAGAGGTCAGATTACTGAAGTGGGTCCGAGGTCCCCGTGGATCCGAGGAGGGTCTCAGCTCTGAGAGTACTGATAGGGCGGGGGCGGTTACTCTGAGGGGAGTCTTGGTGACTGAAGGAGGCTGGTGACCCAGGGAATCTGGGGGAAGGGGGGAGGGGAGTCCAGTCATTCTGAAGGGCGTGCGGGGCTCCCAGTGACTGCTGCGGGGAGGAGATGTTTTGTTATTCTTGGGAAAGAGGGTTTGGAGACCGTATGGGGTGAGTGTATCCTGGAGAGGCAGAGCGGAGGAAGGTCCTGTGACTTGAGAAAGGGGGGCCTGGCCACTCTGAAAAGTGGGGGAGGAGTACTAGTAATTGCTGAGGGCGCAAGCGGTCCCGTGACTCGAGTGGGAGGTTAGAACGAGGACTCTGGAGACGGACGAAGAGGCCTCTTGGAGGTTTCTGGAGGTGGGGGGTAGCACTAAGGGCCCCGGGGGCTCCGAGGGAAAAGGGGCTGGGGAGACAGGGTCCAGGACATATTGACTATGGGGTCGTTGACACTAGTGGAGGGGGCGGGCCTCACCCTGTGAGGACGACGGATCCCTGATCTGGCAGGGGAAGGGGACCTCATTACTCTGGGTGAGAGGGGAATCTCAGTGATTACTGGGGGACAGATGAGCTCAGTTTTTCGGGATGAAGAGGTCCTTGGTGGCTACAAGTAGGAAAGGGACCCTCCAGTTTCGGAGGCCAGGGTCAGCGGCGGAACTAGAACCGATGGGGGTGGGGCCTTGCTATGTCCCAAGAGCCTGGACGCACTGATGACACTCGGGCTGTGCGCAGGTGCCGACCGACCCCGGGCATTTCTCGGTGCTGCTGGACGTGAAGCACTTCTCGCCAGAGGAAATCGCCGTCAAGGTGGTTGGCGAACACGTGGAGGTGCACGCACGCCACGAGGAGCGCCCGGTGAGCCTGCCTGCAGGCGGGGACAGAGTCAGAATCCCGGGGGGTATCTGCCGGCTGAAGTGGGATGGGGAAGGCAGCGAGAAGGAAGGGCGGGGCCGCTCAAACCTCTCCCCTTCCAGGATGAGCACGGATATGTAGCCCGCGAGTTCCACCGCCGCTACCGCCTGCCGCCTGGTGTGGACCCTGCCGCTGTGACGTCCGCGCTGTCACCCGAGGGTGTCCTGTCCATCCAGGCCGCACCCGCGCCAGCCCAGGCTCCGCTGCCCCCGCCGCCGGCTGCTGCTGCCAAGTAGGGGTCTGGGTACGCCAGAACCCCTGGAGCCGCCTCAGGCCCCCCTTTTAAAGCCGACCTGACTCCGCCCAGCCAGATATCCTGAGCTCAAGACCACCCGCTCACCCAATCTGGATCCCGCCCAGACCCTTCCAACCTAGACTCAGTCTTGATAACCTAGGCCTTTCCAGTGATACTCCTACTCACACCCTCTCCCGCTTTTAACCCCCCACCCCAACCTCTCTAGCTTCCAGACCCTACAAGCACAACCCTTCCACCTATAGCCTCCCATTTCCATCCACCCCACTTTCTTGGCACATAAGCCCATTCAAAACTGTTTCCTTCTGACTCCTCTATGAAAACATCTCCACACCCCATTTTATTCCCCTCCTCACTTAATACCAGATTATGGTGTAGACAGCCCTGTGCCCACCCTTGGCCAGTCAAGTATACCTGCCCCCCCTCCACCCGCAACCCCCAGAAATGTCCCAGACACTGCACAGACCTCCCATCTCAGACCACCCAGGCCTAGGATGGTCTCATTCCAATCAGACACTCCACTCCCTGCCACCCCATCCCCAGAACCCATCTTTGGATTTGAAACTTCAGCCAGCCACCTTCAGACTTTTAAATCCCTTTTCTGACCCCTACCCTTGGACAACTATTCTAGGCCAACCAGGACCCTCAACCTCAAAATGTAGATACCCCGCCCATCTCCCCAGACTCTACAATATCCTAGTTCCCATCCCCAGCTCTACCCAGGACCCCTGTCATTTTGTCATGACCCTCAAGTCTCTAACCACATGTAATCCACCTTCCAGACCCCTCCCTCTATTCTCCAAGACCCAGCCAAGCAGCCACTTCTTCTATTCCCCACAATCTTTCTCCTTCCTTGAATTTCCTGCTGCCCCATCCCTCACTCCTACCTAGATCCACTCCCCTAATAAATGTGCTAGAGCTGTGCCATCTGCTTTATGTCTGGGCAGGGAAGGATGGGCTGGAACAGTCAGAAGCCAGTGTGAGGAGGTAAATGTTTATTGGGGTGGAATATCACTGTCGCTCATACATCTCCCGTAAAATCTTCATGCTTTCTGAGTAACGAAGCTGGTTCCGATGAGATGCCTCCTTCCACCTGCAGTGGGGGTGGCGAAGCAGAGGGAGAACTCAGGAGTTGGGGCAGAGACCATAGTGGGGCAAGCAGGTTGGGGATGCTCACCTCTGGCGGATGCGTTTCCAGCGTTGCATATTGCGGTAGATGAGTGTGGAGGGTGAGGGCTCAGGCTCAGAGGGCTGTGTGGACAGACAGGCCAGGCTGGGTGGCCATGCCCAAATACCACAACGTATGTCCCATAGCCCCAGGCCAGCCTTGCAGACCCACCTCATCATCAGGGGTACCCTGGGTCTCAGGCTGCAGTGGGGATGGGATTCGGGATCTGCAGGCATCTCCAGGTGGCCCAGGGGCTGTGGGCGGAGGCAACTTGTACACGTCACGACTCTTGCTATTGGTGACCTCTGAACCCTGGGGACACAAGATCCCCACACCAGACCCAAGAGTGTTAGAGAAGAGGGCCAGAGGTACACATTTCACCCCTCCTGCCTTTCCCAGGGACAAAAGACATGAGGGTCTCACCAAGGACCTGTACTTCGGAGTCATGTCTGATCAATGGGGACCTTACCAGTTTGTGGGTCAGGTCTACCTGCCCAGGGATCTTTGTCTTCTGTCCAACCCAGAGACCCCCATCCACCCCTGCCCAGCCCAGGGGGCCTCCATCTGCTCCCCTAGACCAGGTGGCTGTACCTGTTTACACTAAGAACCCCTGCCCGGCCCCCTAGCTCTTGGAGACCCCAATTTTAGAGGTCACATATATCTGTCCAGGGGAACCCTGACCCCATTCTCCCAAACCAGGTAGCCATGTCTATCTGTTCTAGAGAGCTCTATCCATACCCCCAGCCTAAGGGTTCATATCTATGTGCCTCACTGGATCCAGAAGTCATTTAAGGGACACAGAAACCTGTCTATCACACTAGCTTGGGAGGTGGGGTACCTTGTGACCAGCTACCCACTGCCCTCCCTGGCTGTTGGGCAGAGGCCTACCACCCATCCCACCTCCTCATCCTCAGGCAGTGGGGGCAGTGGTGAGCTGGGCGAGCGTTCACGCTCACGCATTGAGGGGCTGTTGCGCATCCATGCACGGCAGATTGGATACAGTGGTGTGTTCTCGCTGAACTGAGCCAAGTCCACACTCCGGTCAAACAGCTTGATCACATATGCATCTAGGGTGGTGGGAGTGGGAGGTATGTGAACATGCTCACATAACCCTCTATCGTCGACCACCCTCTAGGGCTACCACCTACTCACTGGATCGCTGTGGCCCTCCCTCGGCCAGCCCATCATCCATCTCCCTCCTCTTCTTCCTCCGCTGGTGGGGGAAGCGGGCAGATGGCCTGTGTGGGTTGGGAGAACCTCAGGACTAGGGAGGAGTCTAGGGACCTCTCGTTACCTGGCTGGGGCCCTTGCCACCTTACCGTTTGCCAGTGGCCGCGATGGAGCAATCCCTGTGGAGAAAGACAAGGTGTCAGCAGGCTGACTCTTGAACAAGTGCCTGCTCAAAACTCCCCAAATGGCACCTAGGGATACTAGGATCAAGCCCGAGATGCTCTCACATGGACCCCACCAATCTCTTAGGCCTTGTGTCCCACCCATGCCCCTGCGGTTCTAGGTACCCACTATGAGGGGACCTAAGCTTCTGTTGCCCCAAGGATTTCATACACATAGTGGTTAGGACTGTGGTGGAGGAAGCATGGGGCAGAGTGATCAGGGCTTGGATGAGGGAAGAAGTCTACCACCACAAACCCTCAGATACAGATCCCATCAACAAAACTTACTTGTTGTGGGTGTCTGAGGGGGTCTTCCCAGCTTCCTCATCCAGACGCTCCCTGGTAGCAGGAGAGAACTGTGGGCTCAGGGTTCCAAGGGCCCAGAGTGGGAAGGCACTCCATGGGGCCCCTTCCTCCCTAAGCCAGGTTCTGAGTTCCCACCCAGATCCACCCAAGACCAGAGGGTCCAACCTGCCAGGGTTCCCAAAACCCTATAACCCTATGCTAGCCCAGGTCCCAACCTGTCCATGTGACTCTTCTCCAGCAGACACTGCAGAACAGCATCCAGTTGATTCCGGGCCTTGGCCATCTCCAACTCTGGGGAAGAGGGTACCAAGTAGAAGTCAGTTCCCAGACCCTAGGCAGGTAGGCAGCCAACTGGACCGGGGAAGGGCATGCATAGACCCAGGCGTGCTGAGAGGGTGCATGGGCAGATACTGCTGAAGTGATGAGCAAGAGCTCTCGGTTCCAGAGCTGTCCTACATGCTCATGTGTGACCTAAGGCAAGTCACCTTACCTCACTGAGCCTGTTTCTTCATTTTGAAAATGGGCCTCCAAATGATAAACTGTCTGCTAGGACTGTTCTGAGGTTTAAAAAACCTATGTTGTATATGAATCTCTTAGCAGAATGCGATAATAAGTAACGTATACAAAGTACTTATTATGTGCCAAGCATCATTCCAACCACATCACATATATTAACCCATTGAATTCTCACAACAACCCTGGCAGGTAGGTATGATTGTTATCCCCATTTTACAGATGATGAAACTCAGACACAGAGATGTTAGCTACTTGCCCAAAGTTACACAGCTAGAAAACTGCAGGGATGAGGATTTGCGCCCAGGCCATCTGGCTCCAGAGCTGAAGTTATAAGGCAGGGGCTCAAACTGGGTACAGAATCTAGCCCCCTGATGTGCTTTGTTTAGCCAAGGCAAGTGGTGTTATTTTAAATATGAATTAAATCTGAATGACCTGATGACATTTAATTATTGGGAGATTTCACTCAAAATGCCCATTTTGGCTCCCCCTCCACCACCTTCCTGCATGCCACAGGCCCCGCCTGGCCCTGTCAGCCCGTGTGTTCGTTTCCTTTCATCACAGAACTTAAGGAGGTAATGATGTTATAAATATTCTCCTCTCACCCTATAAGGTGTTTGCTCTCCTCTTCCAACTGGTAGATGCTCTAGCCCAGTGCTTAGAGCCTAGAAGAATACTTGGGGACATGATTTGGCCAGCCCTTGGACTTCCTGAGGTGACCAGGAGACACAGAGATTCCTGACATCACTCAGAGGAGAAACAGGGTCGGGGTGGGAGGTTGGGGGCAGCTGAGATTCTAGCAAAAAGCCTAGGGCAGGAGCCAAGGTATGGTTCATGTCCATATCTATTTCCCTAGCCTCTGCTTTTCTCCTGAACCTCATATCTTGAGATCCCATTAACTCCTGGACACCTCTCCCTGGACATCCCATAGGCTCTTTCCACCTACTGTATCCCGCACTGGCCTCAGTGTCTCTCTAAACTTACCCTCTTTCCTGAGTCCCCATCTTAGGGATAGCCTCACTGGCCCCTAGTCCCTCCCTGGGCCTCAACATAGACACCTCTCTCCCTCTACCACCTTAGCCCACCAACCCCATGATTTGTCCACTTGGCCTCCTAAGTTTCCCTCCCACATCCCAACCCTACCCCTACCACTCTGGTCCTTTTCCTTCCTTCCCCTGGGCTCCCAGCCTCAGTCTTCCCTTCTGAACAACCCTCCACAGGGTGGCCAGGAAAATGTTCCTAAAACCACACCTGACACGAATCCGCCCCTTGGAACCCTCCGTGATGCTGCAGTGTCCCAGGCTAAAGTCCAAGATCTTCAGCCTGGTGTTCACAGGCCTCCATGACCCAACCTACCCCTTTCTCGACCACCACCCCACCATCATTTGTAGTCAGGCCCCCTTCACTTTTCCATCCTCGATTTTTGGCATTTCAGGAGCATCTTCATTAACTCATTCCTCCCCTCCCTGAGCTCCCCATTTCTCTCAAAGCAAAAGCCAAAGTCCTAACCTGGACTCATAAGATCTCTCTCTCCCCTCCCCTCTTTGCCCCTATCTCCTCACACTCTCTATCTCACTCACTCTGTTCCAGCCACACTGGCCTCTCTGCTGGTCCTTGAATAGGCCAGACAAAGCTTCCACGTCTGGGCCTTTTCAAAGCTATTTCCTTTGCCTGATATGTTGTTTCTTCACATATCTTCATGGCTCTCTCCCTCACCCTGCCTCACTCCTGATCTCCCTACCTTCTCCTTTTTTGTTTTATTACCACGTATACCATCTAATATCCTACACCATTTTACTACTTTTTTTTTTTTTTTTGGTCTGGTTTCTGTGTCTCTCCCACAGTCAGTCCTGGGTTCCTATCATCTCAGTCCCAGCCCTAAAGGGCTTCCTCTCTCTCAGCTTGTTTCCCTATCTATCATATTTCCTACCTCCTAGGATTATTGGGATACACTGACTGCCAGGATTAAAAGCTTCCCTGCACATTAGGCACTCAGCACAATGCCTGACTCATAACCACTGCTGGAAATAGAGAAATTGAGGCAGAGCCAAGAAAAGAGTCCTCTCAGAGTCGCGGCTCGAGACCCCCGTGTCTTACCGCACCACATTGACTAAGTCACCATCATTCAGTCTCAAAGCTATCTTCAGCACAGACCGGGAGGATATGCAGGAGGTGGCAAGAATTGCTCGATGTCTGACATAGCCTGACATAGCAATAGTCAGAAGGGCTGCAAGGGTAAGTCGCGTAGTCTGCCTTATCGCAATAATCCTGTCTGTCGGGACTCAAATACCCGTGCTTCCCTGCAGGCCCCCGGCTTCGGGATCCTCACCTGATTTCTCCACTTTCACTTTCACCGGGAACATGGTTTGCGGCTGGCTAGCTGGATCAGAGAATCCCAAAGGAACCTAGGGTCACAAGTCAAGGCCGGAGGCAGAAGCGGAGCGGTCAAACATAAGCTTCGGGTGCGGACACCGCTCCGCCCTGATTAGCGTCCGGCCAAGACCCCTGCCGCCGCCGCCGCCGCCACCACCTCCAGTTCCCCTTCTGTGGGCGACACCCTTCGGCAGTCGCTTGTTCCCATTAGTCAATACAACCGTCGATCTGGTACCCCGACCAATTGACAGCTGCCGCTGTCGGCTCTCAGCTCTAAGCCCCACCTTTCTGGGGACCCGTTTCCGGAAACAAACCAACGACATCCCGGGCGCTTTCTGGGAGGTGTAGTTCTAATTCCCGAGACTCTGCCGCGCGAGGAACGGTGGGAGACATAGGATAAAGGCATCGAGAGGCTTTTGGAACTTGTAATGATAGAAGCTTTGAGTAACACCAATTTAGGTATAACAGGATTTATATAACCGTAGGAGTCCCTCCTGTCCCCAATAGGAAGACAAGTCTGGAGTTAGGCTGCGTTGCTTTTTACTGAGCATTCGCTAAGTGCCAGCTACCTGTTAATCTCTTTACAGGCACAACCTTATTCACTTAGCAAATATCTATTAGTGTGCTAGTCACTCCTGTAGTCACTAGGGACATGCAGTGAATAAAACAGACAAAATTCTTTGCCCTAATAGAGTATATATTTTAGAGGATGGCAGATAAACAATAAAAACATTTTTAATTAAATGTAGTAGGGAAAAGAATATAGCGTGAAAGGGACGTAGTACCAAGATAGGGATTAAAATTTTAAATAGGATGGTCAAGGAAGCCTTCTCTAATAAAGCAGACATCTTCAGAAAATGCGGAATTTCACTTTACCACATATGCCTTGATCCAGATAAATTCTAAGAGGTAGCATTGTGACACTTTAGATGAGCATACTAAGGCCAACTGGGAAAGTAATGTTTTCAAATTTACATATTACCAGTACAGGACAGTAGCCTCTAGTAATAGAAGCATTATTCCTTTCTTAATTCTGCATCTGTAAAGTAGAGTTCCAGAGCAAGAAAGTTCCTATTTCAGAGGGTTCTGAGTAGTATTCAGTGAAAAAATGCATATAATGTGTGAAGTACTAAGCCTGGCACAAAGTAAGCATTCAATAAATGCTTGTGAATATTAATAATCACTTTATGTTTCAATGTCCAAAAGATCCCAGGAAGTCGACATAGAGAATTAGGATCATTTATTGGAGGATGTCCTCAGAGAACATAGGAGATAGGAACAAGTCTTAGGGGCTTGAGAGCGGGCTCAGAATAGAGGAGCCCATCCTGGGAGAATGAGCAGGTCCCAGCCCTGTGCAGAAGTTGTCAGGGGGTACCCAGGGGTATGGTGAAGGAGAGGTAGTCCCCAAGGGCACCCCAACGGGGCCGGTAGATCTGGAAGATGGTGATCCAGGTGGTGAGTACAATCACCCAGAAGAGGAAGCCCACAGCCGAGCGCCACACATCTGTTTGAGGGAACAGGAGTGGGAAAGGTTGGCTTCCACCTGCTCTCTGGTCACCCCCGGACCAGCTCTCTCTTCTCTTTCACAGAACCCCAGAATTCTGAAATTTCCATTCTTCCCTCCCACCAAAGTGCCCCCACCCCCATCACATGGTCTTCTTTCAACTGTGCCCTGGACTCACAGCCTTTGATTTGGCTCTGCTCTGTATATGCCGGGACAAGGAAGGCCTCTCGGAAGAACCAGAAGATATTGACCAACCAGAGAAAAGGCAGGAAAGCAAAACCACCTAAAGGAGGGTTCCGGCACAGATTCAACTTTTCCTTGTTGGACACCCACTCTAAGTTCATGGTCACACTGGGGCTGGGTCACCCCGAGGGTCGACACTGTGAGATGGAAGGGTCGTGGAAAACCACTCCCCAGTGGAGTCTACTTCCTTGGGCTTAGATAAAAATTCTTTTAACCTGTTAAAAGATGCCTTTTAAACTCTGCTGTTCGGGACTCAGGAATCCCGGCTCCTCTCTGGGATCCAGGAATCTGATTCCTCAACCATCTCTTTCTTAGGACGCAGTAGTCCTCTCCTCCTCTCTTGGGACCAAGAAGTTGAGGCCCAGTCTCCTCCTTCCTCAGGACCTTCCCTCAGACCCAGGAGTCCGCGACCTCAGCCGCTTTATCCCTTAGATCCAAAAATCCAGGCCCCCAGACCTTCTTCCCTCGGGCGCTCTAGTCCTCTCCCCTCTCTTCTCCTGAGACCCTAGGAGGCTGGCCCTTACCTAGGTAGTACTTCCGGCACAGGTTCAACTTTTCCTCGTTGGACACTCGCTCCAAGTTCATAGCTGCGCTGCGGCCGGGTTGTCCCGAAGGTCTGCGGGGCAAGACCCAATCCTTAACACTGAGATGCTAGGATCGCGAAAAACCATGCCCCTTTTACAACGAAACAGATAAATTGAAGGGTGGGTTTGCTAAAAGAATGACACCGCCACCCACCTCCCACCAAGCTGAATGGGTTGAGATGTTCTTTGTTTATTGGGGTGCGCGAAACGACCCCCAGCTCACCAGTGGAGTCTACTTCCTTGGGCTTGGACGCCTTTGCTACTTTCAAGAAGGGACGTTTACGCGAGATGCCGCAAGCATCTCTGGAATTTGTAGTCTTTTTTGATAGGCAGCGCTGCACGCATGCGCTTTCAGGGAGCTCCTGCTGGTGATTCTGAGGGCGCAGTCCTCCAGCACGCAAGCGCACTAGGTAGTTTCTAAGCCCGCGATAAGCGTCTGAAGGTAGTGAAGAACTACACTTCCCAATGCTCTTAAGCAACGGAAGTGACTTAAGAGCAGACAGAGTTGGAGGGTTCGGGTAAAAATGGCTGAATATTTAGCTTCGATATTCGGGACTGAGAAGGACAAGTGAGAACCGGCGCAGGGTGTGGACCCTCGCGGGGCTGGGGACGGAGCACTTGGTTCCCTGCTGGCTGGGCAGTGTGGTACGGTGTTTCAGGGGTGTCCGGCTTCCCCGGCCCTCGGTTCACCTCTATCTTTGCACCTCTTTCAGGGTTAACTGCTCTTTTTACTTTAAGATCGGGGCCTGCCGGCATGGGGACCGGTGCTCCCGGCTTCACAACAAACCGACTTTCAGCCAGGTGAGATCCAGCATGGAGCCTGGGGGGTTAACTTCTCCCAGCCATTCCCCTTCTGTTGTCCATCATCACAAGGTTCCGCCTTTTCCGGATTTCTAAGGCCCACCCTACCGTCCGGCTTTTTTCTTGTCGGACTTCTGCAGGTTCCATCCCCAAACTTCAGGCCTTTCTCCCAGGAACTTGGCCACGGCCCCGTAGGTACAGACTACACCCCTGGGCTGTCCCTCACTTCTCGGTCCTCCCGCCTCTCTTCTGGTTTTCTCAGGAGCAAGCATCGCTGATGCACTCAAGATGCTTAGGCTTCTTTGGCGCAAGGTCCCACCCCCAACCTTTGTACTCCGCCCCTTTGCACGTAGCCCCGCCCTCTGCGCTCAGGCCCCGCTCCTTTTAATTCTATTCAGACTGTAGTGCTGCTCAACCTGTACCGGAATCCACAGAACACTGCCCAAACCGCAGACGGATCGCACTGTGAGTGAGGGACGCATCTTGGGGACAGGGCGGACAGCCCTTAGCGGGCCACTCCCTGATTCTACCTTGCCCCCTCCTTCAGGTCACGTGAGCGACGTGGAGGTGCAAGAACACTATGATAACTTCTTTGAGGTGAGGGTTGGCAGGGGCGGGTTGAGTTTTCTGTGAGCCAAGAGCTCAGCAGATTTCCTCTTGGTCTTCCGCAGGAAGTGTTCACGGAACTGCAGGAGAAGTACGGGGAGATTGAAGAGATGAATGTATGCGACAACTTGGGGGATCACCTCGTGGGCAATGTCTATGTCAAGGTGATTGCTTTCCCCCCATTAGAGCCCAGAGGTGGAGGCATTTTAAAACCTAATGGCCACCATCGAAGCCTCATTAGCTTGAGGTCCATCACTAAATCCAGTCCAGCCCCAGAGTTGCTAACTAATCCGCTGAAGATTTCTGAATTTGATTACTAAGCCTGACCTACTTTTTCTTCAGTTTCGGCGTGAAGAGGATGCAGAGCGGGCAGTGGCTGAACTCAATAATCGCTGGTTCAACGGGCAGGCCGTGCATGCTGAGCTGTCTCCTGTCACCGACTTCCGGGAGTCATGCTGTCGGCAGTATGAGATGGGGTATGGCATTTCATGGGTACGATGGGTTCCTGGAGTCCCAGACTCCTGTGTATGTGCTGAGAAGGGGGCCTGTCAGTGATAACAGCCCCCTCCATCCATCCATCTTTAACCCAGGGAATGTACCCGTGGTGGCTTCTGCAACTTCATGCACCTGCGACCCATCTCCCGGAATCTCCGGCGGCAGCTCTATGGGCAGGGACCCAAGCACAGGTACCTCAGGACCAGACTGCCCTAAGTCTGGAATTGAGTGGGTGTCTCCAGTAGGCAAGGGGTGCGTCCTCCATCCCTGCCTCCCTGAGATGGGAGTCAGTAGGACCTAATACTTAAACTTTATGCCAGGTGCTCTCCTAAGAGCTTTACTCATACCCTAAGTCCCCTATACCCTGAGATGAACCTGATCCTATGCCCCAATAACAATGTCTCAAGCCTTTGGTATCCTCAGACTGGCACTGAACCCCATCGCAAGACCAACACCTAAGTCTCAACGCCTAAACCAGCCTGAACCCCAGACCCAAGACCAAGCTTAAATCTACAGTCCTGAGATCACCTATCCTGAAATCACCCCCCAGGAACTCTAATTACTTCACCTGTCCTGCCCCATGTCTCTAACCCTCCTCTCCCCACTCCTGTCCACAGGTCACCCCCAAGGTCCCAGACCCACCACCGTCCCCAAGAAAGAAACCGACGACGTTCACCAGACCACCGGCATGGCCGCTTCTGAGATCTTGGCCGTCTTGCCCTCCACTCTTGACAGGCACAGATGTTCCTGGCCAGGACTCCTCTTCAAAGCTCCCTTAATTCCCCAGGGCCATCTACCCCAGCCTCTGGATCTTACTGCCCCTCCCCTAATAAAATTTCTGTATTGAGGATTTGTAGCTTGAGCCTAGCTGTGGGCTGGAGTTTCCTTCCACCCCCACATCCACTGACATAAAGGAAGTAGGCTGGACTCTGATCAAAACCACAGGGAGGATCTTCAAACAGTAGATGGAAAATCAGCAGACTCACAGCTCAGTGCTTGAGGAACCCCCAAGTAGGACTGGTGGGGTGGGGGTGCCTTTGTGCTGGAAACTTCAGCACATCCATCTGAGGCTTCTCAAGGGGACGACACCTGATTGTGGCAAGTTGGAGGATACCCAGCCTGGAGAAGACTGGGATTAAGAGCTAAGGTAAGGTCACTTGGAATTGAGTGGGTGTCTCCAGTGGGCAAGGGGTATGTCCTCCATCCCTACCTCCCTGAGATGGGAGTCAGTAGGACCTAATACTTAAACTTTATGCCAGGTGCTCTCCTAAGAGCTTTACTTCTAGTCATGGTTTTAATTCTCCACAATAACCCTCTAAGACAGGTGGATTACCATCCTGTTTTATGGATGGAACATGGAGGGGGGTGAGATATGAATCCATGCAGTCTGGCTTTAGCCATCTTGAAGTCTTGTGGCCTCCGATAATGAATGGGCCAGGAGCTGGGCTGGCGGCTGGGGGTAGATTCCCGGCTTCCTAGCGGTTTGGCGATATTATACCCCCACATCCACTGCTTTCTTCTTCTGCCCTGGCTTCTTGGGAAGTGGCAAAAGCGCTGTGGTCGGAAGTCCTGCGGTCACGGGCCCCCTCCCAGATGGGGCTCCAGTGCCTCCTCTCTGCGGCGCTGCTCCTGGCCCAGGTGGAGCCGCGGGAAGCCTCCCAGTCCTGTGGCCGCCTCGAGTACTGGAACCCTGACAACCAGTGCTGCGGTAGCTGCCTGCAGCGCTTCGGACCGCCCTCTTGCCCGGGTGAGGAGCTGGGACTGGGCCTACGCATATACCTACATTCTGGAAGAGCTAGGGGGTTACAGGGAGCGGGGAAAGGACCGAAATTTGGGGGGCTCACTTCGGGGTACGGGTGGTGAGCCTTAAGCAGATAAGGCAGGGATGGGGCTAAACCTGTGAAGAAGGAGATAGTGTGGGTTAGATGAGGGCCGCGGCGAAGGGTTGTGGACTGTTAGGCGGCATCTGGGCAGTGAGGAAAGGGTGAGCTGTGCGGATAAATCTGTGGGAGCGGGAGGGGCAAGAAGGGGGCGGGGCCTGTGGAGAGATGCTTTCAAGACCCACTGGGCTAGGTTGAGGAGGGGGAAGAATGGTGGGGTGGGCGCGTACGCTGATAGGTGGGTGAGTAGAGAGCGAGGGGCGTGGCCTGCTGGGATAGGACAGGGAAAAGGGTGTCGCGAGAGAGGCGAGGCTTGGAGATCAGCTGAGACCCTGTCTCCCACTAGACTTCGAGTTTTCGGAAAACTGCGGGCTCAATGACTTTGGCCATCACGTAACGCACCCCTTCAAGAAGTGTCCTCCTGGGCAGTGCAACCCTAACAGTGAGGAGCTATGTAGCCCCTGTGGCGGTGGAGCCAGGGCCCCCACTTCTGCGGGAACCGGACAGCGCTGCCTACAGGTGCTAGTAGGGTTCCGAAGTCCTGGCCAAGGGGTGCAGTTGGGACTGGAGTTGGGGCGGGGTCTGGATCAAAGGAGGTAGTGTAGCTCCACGGAAGAGGGCTAGGGTGGGGACATAGAAACGAGGTGACCAGTGGGGGTGGGGAGCAGGGACTGGATCAGGCGGGGATGTGGCCCTATGGAAGGCCATAGGGATCGAAGGTTTAGGCTGAAGAGGCAGGAGTGGGGCTTGCCTTCCGCTTAATTCCAACTCCCTATTTCCAGAAACGGGTCCCTCCCAAGGAGCCCTGCCTTTTGAAGCCTGAAACACCGAGCATCCCAACCTCCCAGGAGCCCAGCTCACTAGCAATTTCCAGTCCATTGCACACCGTCGTGCGGCAGGCTTTGCTGCCTTATGCCATGCCCCTGGTGCTGGTTCTGCTTGTGACCTCAGCAGTGATCCTGCTCTCCCTGCAAAGGCTCTGCAACTGCAGCCGTTGGAAAGCTGTCCACCTTTATCCTGGCTTGACTTGCGCTGATTCTAACACCCACACCCTTTTCTTGAACTCTCCAGGCTCCCTGGATGCATCAGAGGCAGGTGACTCAAGGGTCCCTCTGCTTCCACTCTTGGGCAGGGGTTAGTCCCGGACACACTGAGGAGGGGAAGGTGGCCTGGAAACCCACCCTTTCTCCTCAGCCCTCTCTCTCTCTCCCTACCCCAGAGCTACCAAATCTGGCATCACAGCCCCTGTCTCGACTCCTGGATGAGCTGGAGGTGTTGGAGGAACTGATTGTGCTGCTGGACCCTGAGCCTGGGCCAGGTGGGATGGTGGCCTGTGGTACCACTCGACACCTGGCTGCAAGATATGGACTGCCTGCTGCCTGGTCCACCTATGCCTACTCACTGCGACCCAATCGCTCACCTCTGCGAGCCCTGATCGAGATGGTGGTAGCAAGGGAACCCTCTGCCTCTCTGGGCCAGCTTGGCATACACTTAGCCCAGCTAGGGCGGGCAGATGCACTGCAGGTGCTGTCCAAGCTTGGCCCATCTGGGGCCTGCCTGGTCTAGTACTCAATAATTAAGTTTTCCTTGAAATAGGTGCCTGTTGTGTCTCGGCCTCTTTAAGGGGCTCTCTGGAAATACTGGGCCAAGACCCAACAGACACCTTCATCCCCCCTTCTGGAAAATGGCCCATTCCATCAAACACGTAAGACTAGATCTTGGAGAGCTGACCTCAGGCTATGCCTCTGGGCAACCAGGGTTTCCTCTTGAGAAATACTCGTGCCATCCCTGTGAGAGCTGATCCACAAGGACCCACCCAGCGGGGGGGTCTAACTTAGACTATGTAGAACACTTATTGCTCTGAAGCCTTAAAAGACTTCACAATTTACTTCTAATTCTGAATGATGGCCTCTTACCTACCTGTTGAGGCTGATGGGCTTTCTTCGCTCAGGATGGGTGTGGGGCACAGTGAACAGAAGCTCCTACCTGGCCCCAGCACCATACAAACTGGAAAATCACCTCTCCAAACATTGACAGACTTTATTGTGGGGGGTTCCCACTTAGGATCCCACCCTCTTAAATAAAAAAGTGCATAGAAAAGAAGGGATTTAGAAACCTTTGTACAATATCTACATCCTGGGACCCCAGGGCAGTAAGGGGGCGATTGCTGGGTGGGCTGGAGGGGTGGAGGCAGGGCCCTTGCCACCTGCATGCCCACATCCACCCTGAACATGATGGTGGGGGTGAGATGCTCTGGGAGGGACTAGGGAGCCCCCAGACCAGGGGCAAGATGGCAGCAGGGGGGGGTATGGTGGGCAGCCACAACTTCAGTTAAGGAACCGACGGCAGCGCTTGGCGCCACAGTTGCAGGGAAGCTTGTTGCTGGCATCCTCAATGGGGAACTTGTAGTCATAGGTGAGCTCCTCACCACGCAGGATGCGGCGCAAGGCGAAGATGACGATGTGCTTCTGGCCCTCCACGTGGATGACTCGAGAGAAGCAGTTGGGCTCACACGAGTGGTTGATGAAGCGGGCAGCATTGCCATGCATTGTGGCATCCACCACGTCAAAGTCATCCATGCGGAACATGTAGCACCCAATGCCCTACAGGGATAAGGTGGGGGCAGTCAGGTGCTGTGTTCCCATGGGCCGGCCCTGCTTCGCCCACCTCGTTCCCATGACCTGGCAGAGCCCCCCTTCTGTGCCAAGACCCAACAGACACTTTCATCCCCCCTTCTGGAAAATGGCCCATTCCATCAAAACACGAAGACTAGATCTTGGAGAGCTGACCTCAGGCTATGCCTCTGGGCAACCAGGGTTTCCTCTTGAGAAATACTCCTGCCATCCCTGTGAGAGCTGATCCACAAGGACCCACCCAGCGGGGGGTCTAACTTAGACTATGTAGAACACTTATTGCTCTGAAGCCTTAAAAGACTTCACAATTTACTTCTAATTCTGAATGATGGCCTCTTACCTACCTGTTGAGGCTGATGGGCTTTCTTCGCTCAGGATGGGTGTGGGGCACAGTGAACAGAAGCTCCTACCTGGCCCCAGCACCATACAAACTGGAAAATCACCTCTCCAAACATTGACAGACTTTATTGTGGGGGGTTCCCACTTAGGATCCCACCCTCTTAAATAAAAAAGTGCATAGAAAAGAAGGGATTTAGAAACCTTTGTACAATATCTACATCCTGGGACCCCAGGGCAGTAAGGGGGCGATTGCTGGGTGGGCTGGAGGGGTGGAGGCAGGGCCCTTGCCACCTGCATGCCCACATCCACCCTGAACATGATGGTGGGGGTGAGATGCTCTGGGAGGGACTAGGGAGCCCCCAGACCAGGGGCAAGATGGCAGCAGGGGGGGGTATGGTGGGCAGCCACAACTTCAGTTAAGGAACCGACGGCAGCGCTTGGCGCCACAGTTGCAGGGAAGCTTGTTGCTGGCATCCTCAATGGGGAACTTGTAGTCATAGGTGAGCTCCTCACCACGCAGGATGCGGCGCAAGGCGAAGATGACGATGTGCTTCTGGCCCTCCACGTGGATGACTCGAGAGAAGCAGTTGGGCTCACACGAGTGGTTGATGAAGCGGGCAGCATTGCCATGCATTGTGGCATCCACCACGTCAAAGTCATCCATGCGGAACATGTAGCACCCAATGCCCTACAGGGATAAGGTGGGGGCAGTCAGGTGCTGTGTTCCCATGGGCCGGCCCTGCTTCGCCCACCTCGTTCCCATGACCTGGCAGAGCCCACCTTCCCATCGTAGAACTTCTCTCGCTTGTCAGTCAGCACAGAGCGAATGACAATACCAGAGTACTCAATGACCATCTCGCCGGCATCGATGTTGCGCTTACAGAACAGGCCCCGCCCATGGATGGCAGATCTGCAGGGTAGGATGGGCAAGGGGAGCTCAGGGGGTAGGGGGACAGAACCAAGGCAGCACCACACCAGGGTACCTGTCATCCACCCAAGGGGCATCCTCCCCCCAACCCCACTAACCTGTAGACACCCACAGCCTCTTTGGATGTCTTCTTGAGGTGGCGGAAGCGCATGGCCATGGGTAGCTCCAGGCTGGTGGCACGTCTGGAGCGGGGGACAACAGTGTCACACAGGCTGATAGCCAGGAACGACCTCCTCTGCCCCTGGTCTCTCTCTTTAGGATCCTTCCAGACCACCCCAGTACCCTGGCCTGCCCTCGATACCTGGTTGACCTGAGCTGCACCTCATCTTCTTCTTCATCACAGGTGGCTCCCTCAGGGAGTACTCGGTGCTGGGAGGCCAGGAAGTTGAACATGTCAAAGGTGCACTTCCTGTAGGTGGGAGGGAAGAAAGGAGGGAGGTTCGTAGCCATTCTTTTGAGATGTTACCCACCTATTTTCGGCCAGGCTTCCTGTTGGCAGAGCAGGAAGAATACCACTGCTATTGAAGACGTGGTGAAAGGGGAATGAATGGGGTTCATTCTTCTGATATAAAAAAATAATTCCTGGTGTGGCCTAGTGTCTTCTTCCCAGGCCCCAGTTTTCAATCTGTACAGACTTAATTCCCGCCCTCAAGAACTCCCAAAGGGTTCCCCTGACTCGAGCATCACACCCCAGACCTCTCACCGGAGATAGACCTCGGCGCGGGCTGCCCCATGGGGATTCAGGGGTGGCTCCTCCTGGCCCTCTCCCTGCTGGTGGTAGCGGAACTTGTAGTGCTGGCAGCGCTGGGCCCCGGGCAGCTGCTCTGCCAGGAAGATGACTGCATCATGGTGGATACCCAGGAGCCTTGCCCCACTCATTCCTGGGGAGTCAAAGGGGAGGACACACAAGTCATGTCGGAGGTCCATCTTGCCCCGGGGGAGTCATTTCAGCTCCCAGGGCCCCTGTGGACACTCCACTTACCACTGAAGGAGAGATGTCTGAGCCGGGCATGCCCTCGTGCCTCTTGCACCTTCTCAATCAGAGTTCTCCATGCCCCTGAGGAGAGGGCAGAGCCAGAGCAGAGTCAGGATGGTATTCTTGGGACACCTTCCCTCCCTGTCACCACTACTCCTGACTCACCTTCCAAGCTCTCTGCCTCCACGCTGAACCCATCCTCACTGCTGATCTCGAAGCGCAGATGTGGGCCAGCCCGTTTGGGGGCCTGGTTCTCTTTATCCTCTGGGGATGGAGGCTCTTCCTCAGAGCTTGAAGCCTCACCTGGTCCCAAGGAGCAGGTCAGAGTAGGTGAAGATCACCCCTCCTAGAGTCAAATCCCCTGGCTCCCCACCACCCTCCCTCCTTCCCTGGGCACAAGCAAAGACACTGGGTCTGAAGGCCTCCCCCTGCTCTAACTGCTCAGTGAACTCTTATAGATCAGACACTCGTTTTTTCTGAAGGGTCTGCAGTCCCTTTTCTGCAGGACTTCTTGGCTAGATGAGCAGTTCTACGGAGGCTTAGAATGTTTTGGCTCTGCAGGACACACTATGGCTCACTCAAACCCAGTCTGCTATAAATGCCTATCTACCCCTCATTCTTCTATCTCACACAAAATTAAAAATACTAGAGAATTATATTCTGCATGTATATATTTACACACAGCATATTTTCTGTAAATATTACAAACATATTATTGCATAGGCCCATACTCACAATCAAATACGTGTACATTATGAGCATGTCTCGGGGTTAAAGATTTAAAGAGAGCAGACGGGACTCGCTAATGTAGGAGATGTGGATGAGGGATATAGAGGGGGTGTCAAGGACAACTCTGAAATGTGGGACCTGAACTGGAATTATAACACTGCCACTGACAGAGACCCTGAGGGTGGGGGAAAAACGAATTTGGGGTAAAGGTCGAGAGCTCAGTTTAGGACAAGCGAAGTCTGAAAGTCCTCTTAGAAAAACTCCCCTGGCAACTTGCTGGTGAAGATGACCAACAGGCACCAGGATAAAGCAGTATTGCTAACAATTTGGGGGCTATAAGAATTAGGGGATTTAGGGCTATGAAGTTACATTACAGCACCTGAGACATGCCAAAGTTGACAAGTTGAGGCAAACAGGAGGCATAACCAGAGATGAAGAGCGGGGTGGGGTTCTAGAAGCCAAGAAAGGAAGTCCTTCAAAGAGGACTTCCTTTTAGAGCACCAAATGCAGGACGTGAACTGAGAACTGCCCACTGTGCTTGGGGTAAGTTTGAGTTGAGCACACTTTAGGAGAGGCAGGCCTCACGTGGCCACCCTTTCTCCCCACATCACTTCTCCGGGCCAACCTGCCCACGTGCCCTCCCAGCCCTAAGCATGACTAAACCTGACTCTTGCTGTGTGACCCACTGCATCAATAGGTCTCAGTGCTCCTGGGTCCACCTCTGATAACTTCTTCCACCTCTTCTTAGCCCCCTCCATCTTCGCCTTCATTTTGTTCCCCTAACTTATCAGGCACTCTCTCATTGCCCTCTTTCTCACAGTGCTCATTCTAAGCTGAAGTACACTTGCTAATGTACATGGCTACCAAATGTGATATGCCCCTAAGAGTAGGCAGGGACCTGTCATGGTCACTGTCATGTCCCCATGCCCTCTCTGACCCTATAAGCAGTGTTTCAGTTAAGCAGTCTCAGTCTCTCTCACTCCACTTCCATGCTCAGCACCTGTACTCTACATGAGAAAATTCACATTATCAGCGTAAGATTGGGGCCACTAGAAATTCTAAGCCTCAGGTTGCTTGATTACCTGCTTACTTGGCTGTAGTCCTTTCTCTCTCCATCCCTGACCTATAGAGCACTACCCTTCCAGCTTCACTGAGTCTGCCAGCCAAACTACTCTAAGTGCCCCTATCCTGTGTACTGATGTCTCTGCAGGTACACCTAACCTCACCTTTCATCTCAACCTGCCACGCCTCCTCTCACCACCTCTTCCATCTATGAGCCTCCTTTGCCCTCATCCTTGGCTTTGCTGTCTCAGCCCTCACACCAGACCCCTCTAAGCTGTTGGCCCAACTCCTCTTCCCAGACTCAGCCGAGCTCTTTGGCAAAGTGCCTGGGTATTGTTTTGGTTTCCTCATCAGACACTGTCTTTGATTCTGGACTCTGACCCAACGTTCTCTCCACCCCGCGCCACCTATCCACATGGTACATCAACCCTAGACCCCATATGCCTACAGCCCTTTGTGGCAGCTGCGACTGCTGACTACTCCCTTCCCTGAGCCTCTGGGACACCTCTCCTCCTACCTCCTTCCTACTGTTCTTGTCTCTCCTCTAGGTCCTAGGTGGGCTCCATCCTAACTAGTTGTTCCCAGAACTGCATCTTCGGCTTTATTAGGTACTTAACCTTCCGACCCTGGCAGACTAGGCTCTGATGCCCTCCCTGAGGCTCCTGAGCATGCTTGGACAAGGCGCTTTGAGAGGCCCTTTCATATTGAGCTGAAACTTTCTATTTCTGCCACAGGCCATAAGCTCCCTGAGGGTGTCTCTATAACTCTAACACCCAGCCTCAGGCCTGCACTTTTTGAAGTGGACCAGTTCACCACTATATTTATCAGTCACTCAGCTGAGCAAACACAGGGAAGGAGACAATGAGAGGAAAAGGATGGTCCTTACCTGAGTAGTGGTGCCACTGGGACTCAAGCAGCAGGTCGGGGGTACCATCGGGAGCCTGGGGAGGACCACCTTCTGGA